TATTCATCAAGTTAAAAAGATTATCAATTACAAGTTGATAAGATCTATTCATCAAGTTAAAAAGATTGTCAATTACAAGTTGATATGATCTATTCATCAAGTTAAATAGATTATCAATTACAAGTTGATATGATCTATTCATCAAGTTAAACAGATTGTCAATTACAAGTTGATATGATGTAATCATCAAGTTAAAAAGTTTGTCAATTACAAGTTGATATGATCTATTCATCAAGTTTAAAAGATTATCAATTACAAGTTGATATGATCTATTCATCAAGTTAAACAGATTGTCAATTACAAGTTGATATGATCTATTCATCAAGTTAAAAAGATTGTCAATTACAAGTTGATATGATCTATTCATCAAGTTAAAAAGATTATCAAATACAAGTTGATATGATCTATTCATCAAGTTAAACAGATTGTCAATTACAAGTTGATATGATCTAATCATCAAGTTAAAAAGATTATCAATTAAAAGTTGATATGATCTAATCATCAAGTTAAAAAGATTGTCAATTACAAGTTGATATGATCTATTCATCAAGTTAAAAAGATTGTCAATTACAAGTTGATATGATCTATTCATCAAGTTAAAAAGATTGTCAATTACAAGTTGATATGATCTATTCATCAAGTTAAAAAGATTGTCAATTACACGTTGATATGATCTATTCATCAAGTTAAAAAGATTGTCAATTTCAAGTTGATGTGATCTATTCATCAAGTTAAAAAGATTGTTAATTACAAGTTGATATGATCTATTCATCAAGTTAAAAAGATTGTCAATTACAGGTTAATATGATCTATTTATCAAGTTAAAAAGATTGTCAATTACAAGTTGATATGATCTATTTATCAAGTTAAAAAGATTGTCAATTACAAGTTAATATGATCTATTCATCAAGATAAAAAGATTGTCAATTACAAGTTGATATGATCTATTCATCAAGTTAAAAAGATTGTCAATTACAAGTTGATATGATCTATTCATCAAGTTAAAAAGATTGTCAATTACAAGTTAATATGATCTATTCATCAAGTTAAAAAGATTGTCAATTACAAGTTGATATGATCTATTCATCAAGTTAAAAAGATTGTCAATTACAAGTTGATATGATCTATTCATCAAGTTAAAAAGATTGTCAATTACAAGTTGATATGATCTATTCATCAAGTTAAAAAGATTATCAATTACAAGTTGATATGATCTATTCATCAAGTTAAAAAGATTGTCAATTACACGTTGATATGATCTATTCATCAAGTTAAAAAGATTGTCAATTACAAGTTGATATGATCTATTCATCAAGTTAAAAAGATTGTCAATTACAAGTAGATATGATCTAATCATCAAGTTAAAAAGATTGTCAATTACAAGTTAATATGATCTATTCATCAAGTTAAAAATATTGTCAATTACAAGTTGATATGATCTATTCATCAAGTTAAAAAGATTGTCAATTACAAGTTAATATGATCTATTTATCAAGTTAAAAAGATTGTCAATTACAAGTTGATATGATCTATTCATCAAGTTAAAAAGATTGTTAATTACAAGTTAATATGATCTATTCATCAAGTTAAAAAGATTGTCAATTACAAGTTGATATGATCTATTCATCAAGTTAAAAAGATTGTCAATTACAAGTTGATATGATCTATTCATCAAGTTAAAAAGATTGTCAATTACAAGTTGATATGATCTATTCATCAAGTTAAAAAGATTGTCAATTACAAGTTAATATGATCTATTCATCAAGTTAAAAAGATTGTCAATTACAAGTTGATATGATTTATTCATCAAGTTAAAAAGATTGTCAATTACAAGTTATATGATCTAATCATCAAGTTAAACAAGATTGTTAGTTACAAGTTGACATGATATATTTATCAAGTTAAACAAGATTGTCAGTTAGACGTTGAAAGAGTCTAGTCATTAATGTAAAAAAGATTGCTAGTTACAAGTTCATAGCGTCTATTCATCAAGTTAAACAAGATTGTTAAATACAAGTTGAAAAGATCTATTCATCAAGTTGAACAAGATTGTTAGTTACAAGTTGATAAGATCTATTCATCAAGTTAAACTTTTAGTTACAAGTTGAAAAGATCTATTCATCAAGTTAAACAAGATTGTTAGTTACAAGTTAAAAAGATCTATTCATCAAGTTAAACAAGATTTGTTAGTTACAAGTTAAAAAGATCTATTCATCAAGTTGAACAAGATTGTTAGTTACAAGTTGATAAGATCTATTCATCAAGTTGAACAAGATTGTTAGTTACAAGTTGAAAAGATCTATTCATCAAGTTAAACAAGATTGTTAGTTACAAGTTGAAAAGATATATTCATCAAGTTAAACAAGATTGCTAGTTACAAGTTGAAAAGATCTATTCATCAAGTTGAACAAGATTGTTAGTTATAATTTGATAAGATCTATTTGTCAAGTTAAACAAGATTGTTAGTTACGAGTTGATAAGATCTATTCATCAAGTTAAACAAGATTTTTACTTACTAGTTGATAAGATCTATTCATCAAGTTAAACAAGATTGTTAGTTACGAGTTGTTAAGATCTATTCATCAAGTTAAACAAGATTGTTATTTACGAATTGATAAGATCTATTCATCAAGTTAAACAAGATTGTTAGTTACGAGTTGATAAGATCTATTCATCAAGTTAAACAAGATTGCTAGTTACGAGTTGAAAATATCTGTTCATCAAGTTGAACAAGATTGTTAGTTACAAGTTGAAAAAATCTATTCATCAAGTTAAACAAGATTGCTACTTACAAGTTGAAAAGATCTATTCATCAAGTTAAACAAGATTGTTAGTTACAAGTTGATAAGATCTATTCATCAAGTTAAACAAGATTGCTAGTTACGAGTTGAAAATATATATTCATCAAGTTAAACAAGATTGTTAGTTACGAATTGATAAGATATATTCATCAAGTTAAACAAGATTGTCTTTTATAATGGCTTAAACAGCAGAAGCTTCTTTCGGCCATTTACACGATTTCTAGTGGAGACCGGAACACCTGTAGGAATTACTTCCAAACCTTCCCCCCAGACCCCCCACCCCCCGTGTTTTTGTTTACCTGTGGTACTTTTTTTACCTGCTACCTATGGAAAGTGAAAATATATTAATAATAACACTGTGATACAATTACGTAACTATTTTGAAGATTTAATCTGTGTTAATATTTCGGCTCATATGATAAACAATGCGTAACAAAGGACTGAGAAAAACAGTTTGCAAAGAAAATAACACCAAAGCTAGTGAGACTAACAGTATTTATTTTAATTATAAAATACATTTTTATAAAGATACAAATTTGATTACAGAAGTAAAAAAACAAAAAAAAAAATAAAATCAAGGGGAAAAAACCTCAATAACTTTTTCAACCAACAGGAAGGGAAAAATGTACACTCCTCAAAATACACAGATTAATTTACACACATAATTGTATACCGTCTCGTGAGGCGAAACTCTCTATCTCTCGCTCTCTCCATCCGTAGCTCTCTGTCTATGTAAGTGTCTAAAAATCCATTGTTATGTTTTAGAGTTATGACAAAACCATATGCGAGAATAGTTTTGTCAGCCCCAGCATGATTATTTTCATCTAAGCTCCATTTCGGCTAACAAAATTTGAAAACATGGAAGCACCACAGTTTAGATTGTGGTCAAATAATTGCCATTAGGGGACAGGGTAAGTTGGTTAAATGTATTTGGTTGATTATATTGTTGGCTGTTGGATGCCTATTGTTCTTCACTGCTTTATTTATCAACATGAATTGTATGTAAAATATATGCATATATATGGTGGATGGGAACCCTTGACCTTGGATGTCAAATCATCTAACAGAAGGAATCTCTGAATTAAACCCCGGATATGGAGTCCCATAGGCGGATAACATTGATACAATGAAACATTCCGACAACTCCTTCGACGCCACTGGTGCCAAGCTGTATCATCCACCTGATGTTCCCTTGGGTTATCCAGCGGGCGTGGAGAGAGGCGATTTGCCGTTGTGAACCAGCTTATAATCCTTGAAGAATAATCCCAGGCCTTGTTGATATCGTCCTGCGAAGTCTACACCATCGTCACATTGTGACGGAAGGATGGGAGCAAATTTGAATATAGCTTGTGTCATGAAACATAAGGCTTCAATAGTCAAATGTATTAGCTTTATTGGCGTCAATCATCATGACTTCCGCGAATTTTTTTCAAGAAAAACAGCGGAATGTCTAGATTTATCCTATCATACATTATGTAAGAAGGTAACAGAGTTGTGCGAATTTTTTGTCGCGATTTGAAAAAAAAAACAACAACTCAGACAAGATTGTGTCGAACGACAAGAACCACCTTCAGTGTAACTAAAAAAATATCGAATTGTTTTGTATTTTGTATATCTCATACACATTTAACCGTATGCCAAGAAAACGATACTAAAGCTAGTGATGCTCACAATATTTTTTTAAATTATAAAATTATTATTTTATATTTCATGCACATTTAACCGACGGGAAACTTAGGTTATCACGTAAAACCGATTTGGTCTCCAACATGCACACCGAGATGATGTTATTTATGGAAAAAAACAACAAAAAAAAAAACTGTTCGAATCGCAGTTGGGGAAGAGTTGCTTCGCTTAATCTGATTGCGGTGAAAAAGAAAGAGGCCTAGTTCCACATGAGTTTGTGCAATTAGTTTAGGGCACTTTAAGAGGTCTGTTGCCGACCTGTTCGCCAGTGTAATGAAAATAATAACTTTAAAAAATGTATATGCTAGTTTTGTTGATAAGAATCCTGCTGAACCTCAAAAGGAAGCAATCGATCTGCAGTTTAATGCCCACCTTTAGTTTGGAACAAACAATTGCAGCCCCCCCCCCCTCCTTTTTCCGACCACACCCCCAAGCCTAACAAAATATTTTATCGTCCGACCCTTGACCTAGTTGATAACAAAATCTTTTGAACAGAGTTATTGTTTATTTTCAGTTTCACCACGGAGTAGGACAGTGATAAGAACGCGTACGTCCAAACAGCTTATGAGTGAAATCGCAATGCCTTCACTTGTCTTGTTCCTGGACTTGTTCTTGTGTGCTCTAGTGGTCAACGATTGTTTTGGTGAGTGATAAACAAACTAAATAATTATATCTACAGTAATCTGGTCTTGTTGTAAATGATGATTATTGATTATTCAAGCGGTCGGCAAAGTACGGTCCGCAAATTCAGTTTAACCGGGCCGGCATGGAGCTTATTAAAGGAGACAGTAGTGTGTAAGGAGTGCATTCTGACTTGAGGAGACAGGAGTGTATACAAGGAGAGTATCCTGACTTGAGGAGACAGTAGTGTGTACAAGGAGTGCATTCCGACTTGAGGAGACAGTAGTTTGTCAAAGGAGAGTATTCTGACTTGACGAGACAGTAGTTTCAACAAGGGCTGCATTCTGACTTGAGGAGACAGTAGTGTGTACAAGGAGTGCATTCTGACTTTAGGAGACAATAGTGTGTACAAGGAGTTCTGACTTGAGGAGACAATAGTGTGTACAAGGAGAGTATTTTGAATTGAGGAGACAATAGTTTGTGCAAGGAATAAATTATTACTAGAGGAGACAGTAGTTTGTACCAGTAGAGTATTCTGATTTGAGGAGACAACAGTTTGTAAAAGCAATTCATTCTGATTGGAGGAGACAATAGTGTGTACAAGGAGTGTATTTTGACTTGAGGAGACTGTAGTTTGTACAAAGAGTGCATTTTGACTTGAGGAGACTGTAGTGTGTACAAGGAGAGTATTCTAACTTGAGGAGACAATAGTATGTACAAGAAGTGCATTCTGACTTGAGGAGACTGTAGTGTGTACAAGGAGAGTATTCTGACTTGAGGAGACAGTAGTTTGTACAAAGAGTGCATTTTGACTTGAGGAGACTGTAGTGTGTACAAGGAGAGTATTCTAACTTGAGGAGACAATAGTATGTACAAGAAGTGCATTCTGACTTGAGGAGACTGTAGTGTGAACAAGGAGAGTATTCTGATTTGAGAAGACATTAGTGTGTACAAGGATAGTATTCTGACTTGAGGAGACAGTAGTGTGTACAAGGTGAGTATTCTGAATTGAGGAGACAATAGTTTGTGCAAGAAATGCATTCTGAGTTGAGGAGACAGTTGTGTGTACAAGGAGAGTATACTGACTTGAGGAGACAGTAGTGTGTACAAGGAGATTATTCTAACTTGAGGAGACAATAGTATGTACAAGAAGTGCATTTTGACTTGAGGAGACTGTAGAGTGTACAAGGAGAGTATTCTGATTTGAGAAGACATTAGTGTGTACAAGGATAGTATTCTGACTTGAGGAGACAGTAGTGTGTACAAGGTGAGTATTCTGAATTGACGAGACAATAGTTTGTGCAAGAAATGCATTCTGAGTTGAGGAGACAGTTGTGTGTACAAGGAGAGTATCCTGACTTGAGGAGACAGTAGTGTGTACAAGGAGATTATTCTAACTTGAGGAGACAATAGTATGTACAAGAAGTGCATTTTGACTTGAGGAGACTGTAGAGTGTACAAGGAGAGTATTCTGATTTGAGAAGACAGTAGTGTGTACAAGGATAGTATTCTGACTTGAGGAGACAGTAATGTGTACAATGTGAGTATTCTGAATTGAGGAGACAATAGTTTGTGCAGGAATGCATTCTGACTTGAGGAGACAGTTGTGTGTACAAGGAGAGTATTCTGACTTGAGGAGACAGTAGTGTGTACAAGGAGTGCATTCTCACTTGAGGAGACAGTAGTTTGTACAAAGAGTGCATTTTGACTTGAGGAGACTGTAGAGTGTACAAGAGAGTATTCTGATTTGAGAAGACAGTAGTGTGTACAAAGAAAGCATTCTGACTTGAGGAGACAGTTTCAGGACAATTTTACCGATCTGGATATCAGTTCTTTAAAAATCTTCCAAAACCCGTTTGGTGGTTTTCTCGGTGTTTAACCATCTGAACTTCAAATTGAAGTGAACGACCTACAATCCAAACTCACTTTTATTAGAATTATAAGGTGTGTAATTTGGTCATGTAAATGAATTTTCTCTTAAATTAATCTCAGTCTTGGGACTACCTAATTGTGTGACAAGACATTTTCAAATATGTTACATTGTAATATCTAGCTAGAGAGCAGCGTGTGGTTGAGCACTTGTAATTAACTTATGATGATAGTGATGATAACTTTGTACCTCTACTATAAGGTACTGTATCAGAAAGAACCAGTTTCCAATTTACGACGATTTACAGGATTGAGACGATTTGTCCCAGACCCCGACAAGATTTTTAGAAGTGAAGAACAGGAAAAGCACTAGGTTCAGACATGATCTGCAACGAAATGCTCTTCCTAGAGGTGTGGTATAAGGAATTGAGAAAACGGCGAGACAGCATGTAAACTTTACCTAAAGATACCACAACCCAACAGAAAGGGAGATCAACGGTGGCGTTTAAAACGCGAGCACCAGAGCCTCACCACCCAGATGAGAACAGACTATTGTTCTACTGGCAGCTATCTGAACAGATTACATCCGCTTCGAGACCCAAGCTGTCGTGACTGTGGATAGGCGCCGGAGAAAGTAGTGGACTTACTAGCCGAGTGTCTAATACTAAGGTGTGGAGGGGCAGGGACTCCCCCAGATACACACGTCAAGAACATGATTCACGGTGCTCCCCAGCAGAAGCAGCATGCCTGTAAAGTGCTCATCAGGCCATACAATAGCAATAGCTCGGGCCCATGAAAAGAATGTAATATTTCAGTGTAAGTCACTAAAATTATAAAGCTATTTTGTGATTGTATCACGGAGTGTTGCTACTCTAACAGGCTAGACAACAACAGGGACCCGAACTGACGACGACGAAGGCTGTAAGATAAGATAAGATAAGATAAGATTAAGATAAGATAAGATAAGATAAGATTCTTTTATTGATCCAAATAAATGTAAATGTTTTTTTGATTGCATTATACATCTTCAGCACAAAAATAAAACAATTTGAACACAAGACATTTATGATAAATTATTTCAAACAGCCATTCAGTGAATTCTCTTAGCGAAATCGGGGACTTCTTAGTTCTCATTCAGGTGTGTGACTTCAGAGGAAGCACGCCGGTAAATTCGTACAGATTGGGGAACAAACGAAATTTTTATATCTGTCAGTCCTCGCCCTGATGGAAGGAATTCGCCCCGAACGGCCCGATCTTAAGTATCTGTAATGAAGAAGGTGAGGAGACTAGGGAAGAAAACAAGTCTCACGTTGCAGATGTCATCTGGAACAGCCGAGCAGCTGTTACTTTGTTTTTCATTTATAAACCGGGGTGGTAAGGAAGCTGTTTTCTCGCCCCTTCCCTAGAGTTTCGTTGAGTTTTCGTACAATTTATATAACTTATTCAAGAGCACCGTTTTTTTAAAAGATATTTTCTCTCTCCAGGTTTCCAAGTGTTCTTGGAAGTCAACCCTCCTACCATCCACACCATATTAACCAAGAAACTACGAATGAGATGCTCTTTAAAAAATGATGTCAATTTGGAAATGCAGAAACCTTTGTCTAAAGAAGAATTCTGCGACAGAACCACGCCAAGCTGCAACACAAAGGCTGAAGAGCTGTCACTGAAGGTAGCTTCTACTTCAACATCTCCGAGATCTGACATCAGCGACCTCCTGTCGATCGTCATTACCAAGTACAGCAATGACCATAAGAAGAGGGAGATCATCGCAAGTGTTACCAGTGCTGCCGCACCAAAGACGGAGGCTGTGTTTACAAGCGCGGTACAAGCGGAGGGAACCTGTGAAAGCTCTGATGTCGACGAGCTGGGTTATCTCCTGCTGACCATGGACATGCCTACGGACGAACACGCGGGCAACTACACCTGTGAGGTCTTGGCTTTGGACTTTCAAAAAATACCTCTAGCCCTCAACGCCTCGTTCTCAATAGCTGTGATTCAGCCGTCCGTATCTGACCTAGTGACCTATATATCCAAACACGAACAAGAGATAATAGAACTAAGAAAACAAGTTTCAGACCTGAAGGAGACTAACATAACACTGATGAGACATATTTCAGAAAGAGATAAGTCCTTGCAGACTGGGCGCTCAACAATCTGCAGAGACAATCCCAAAAATTATATTGCTACAATCACTTTTCAACAGCCGTATGTTGATACTCCAAAGATTTTTGCCAAGGTTACTAAATGGACTTATCCGAATGGACGACAATTTTTAAAAGACCTCCACCAACCACTGATTGTTTTTGAAAGTGCCTCACTAAAATCGTTCAGCACTCTTTGTTATATTGGTGACCAATATCTGATAGAGGAGTTTGAATGGTTGGCAGTGATCTAATACACAACAGAAACCAATGGGTGATTTCATATCTCACGGCAAGGGAAAGAGATCAAATCACATTTTAATATTTTAAATAGTCATTTGTGCACTTCAGTTTTCAAATTTATTCAAAAAAATTTAATTTATATATAATGTTATTTACATGTCTTAAGCTACATCTCACAAGGTGTTTACACATGACGCTTTTATTGCTAGTAAAGATGCCAAAGATACAATGGAGAATAAATTTGAAGTTTTTCTTCTGTAAAGTGGTTATTGGTCGTGAAATGTGACTCTCACACCCACCCACATATACCATGTTAGAGACCGACCGAATTTCGTATTCGGGTTCGGTTGCGGCGCCGAAAGTTGCCACTCAATCACTTTCGGCTAATTTTCGGTTTCGGCCGAAACTTAAAAGTTAACTTTCGGTTTTATTTTCGGATTCGGGAGAAACGGAAAAGATAAATTTCGGTTTTATTTCGTGTTTGGCCGAATGTGATTGAGACTTTCATCCATCTGGCGAAATTGATTAATGCTTTTGGTCGTGTACCAGAAGTCACAATGACTGTCGGTCTTTACGCCGGCAATCCGATATTCATTGTCGTACGACGTTTTGCAGTCATCGTATGACATATGACTACTCCTCGGCGCAAACAGATCACAGCTGCTTGATGACCCACTTGTCCTATATTTCCAAACATTGTTATTGACGAAATAACACACGTGTGCATGTATCACTAGTTCGCATAATAATTATATAGTAAGCTTGCTGCATACATGATTTTGGCAACCAATGTAAGATTTTGAGATGTCTCTTACGTTTCCACGCCGGGACACGTCAGTACGTCTATTTGAAAAGGCCCGGTTAAAATATACCACGCACCACCCTCAGATTAGCGCGGGGGAGGTTGTTCAACGAACAAAATTATTACGTCACAAGCACGGAAAGACTAGTTTGTGGTACTAGGCTAAATATAACTACAGGGATATCTAGCCAGCTATTTATGAAAACACAAAGCACTAGTGTGACGATAGTCGCGAAAAAAGGTCGAGATATTTTATATCCTTAACATATTTGTAGGCAACATTTGGCTCTGTTAGAGATTGTCAAGAGATAAGTGTAGTAAGTTTCAGTGGAAACCATCCTCAACCGCCGTCTTATGAATCCCTAGTGCGTACGTAATATATGGAGTGCCCATTAATTTGGCAGGGGGGGGGAGAAGGATGTGAAAATATGTTGTTTTTGCATATGGATTTCCCATTGTGTAATTAACTCTGCATTCAAATTTGGCTACCTTGATGGATGTGTACAGTGAGTGCATGATTTTAATGCTATCACCAATTTTAAATAGACGCTCCTTTTTCAATACTACCTATTATTTAAAAAAAAAACAAAAAAAAAACATTCTCAACTGCTGCGCACAGTAGCGTTAGATTTTTTTACATATTCTATAAGATCCAGTAGGCTGCATTTGAATTTCTATTTTATGACGTCACCAAGCAGCTGTACAATTTTAATAGCCCAGTTTTGTTCCACCACTTATCCTTCCATTTTCAAAATACAGCTTGTGGTAGTTTTACTCACAATTAGAAATAAATTAGGGCTCCTTGTCATAATTCAGGGGTGGTTAATCCGCGGCCGCCACAGTCAAATGTATTGCCCGTGAGTTCCATCACACATGACCGTATTTTTTCATTCAGACGCCATTGTGAATGATAGATTGGAAATAGATTGAAATAAGTAATACTTTTTTTAAAGCACATATTAACTAATTATTTTTTTTAAAGCTAGGTGAAGGGAACCTCATTTCTCACCATCATTACGATTAAGTCTAGAATGATGCAGAAATATATTTAAGTAGGCTATACACAAACGTGCATCCCTTCACTTTGAATTTATTAAAAAGATTTTGAGCTCAGCCTCCTCCCCAAATCGCACCCCCACTTTTGTTTGAGTGACATCGGCGTCTACATAACCAGGGTTTCTTTCAGCTATATCTCCGGAGGGCACTACCCCCCTCCCGGGGAAAGCCAAGGTCCCCCCCCCACCACCCCCCCCCCCCCAAAAATATGTCCAACAATAAATCAACTGGCACTGCCCCACCGAAAAATCTGAAGTGCCCCCCCCTTCCCCCGGGGAAATTTCTGAAATAATCACTGGATATAACTAAGACAGAACGTTATGGAATGGGTCCCCACTGTGTCCCTGTTTAAGTTTAAATGACCAATGGTTATTGTTATTTGATTTTAGCATTTTTCTTACAGGAAAATTAATTACGCCTAAAAGTCATAGAGTATATAAGTCATAAAAAGCTTATTGAAGTGTTAGTTTAGTTCTATTTATTTGTATAGTCACGCCTGTTAGATAATGTGTCATGTGTGTTGTGTGTGTGGGTGTCCCGTGCGATTAAAAATAACTGCCTTAAAATTATTTTGTTTGTGTTAGATCGTGTTTGTGTCACATATCAGAGGCAGAGAGGGGGGATGAATAGAAAGAGAGAAGGAATGAGAGAGATTTCAGAATATGGGATAACTTTTTGAAACGGGATGTCATCGGGATTGGGATCTCTCCGGAACGGGATCACATTAGCAAATTGGATCCCCCTTTGAAAGGAGATCCCATCGGGATTAGATTATAATTCACGTTAACCACAGTTGTGTGTAAATTATATAAATACTTCCTCCCCCCCCCCCCCCCCCCCCTTTTTTGATGTTGACAGAATATATGTATGAACGAGTTTCGAAATATATAAATCTTTCGGCTTTGCCAAAAGTCTTGTTAAGCCTTTGGTTTCTGTCTCAGCTGAAATTCCTTTTTAACTTTCGGTCTAGTTTCAGTTTCGGCAGTGATAATTTACTTAATGTAGTTACAAGATAAAGTACTGAGGCTTTCTGAACGGACAAAGTTATAGACGATTTACATCCCTTTACCAAAAATTTAAACCTGAAATTTCATTAAAGCAAGGTCGCAGTTTATCGGCGGTAGTGTGTTTATTCCTGGGAAACTACAGCCATAAGCCTTACATTTATTGCGCGAAGGTCATTTGGGCATCATAAATATGAAACTCGAAACACTGACAAAGAAATGTGTGGGATGTGCTATACATTTTTTTTTTACAGCTCAGACTCCAAATCAACAGTTGACATTGCCTCATGGACAATTCATTCATGGGAATGGCCTCACGGACTATGGCAATGATTGCGTATAAACTATGCTGGGCTATTTTAGGAAACATGATCATACTTTGTATGCATGTACATAGAAAATGGGTCGAAGCTATTCCAACATCGTGTGCACCATCCTCCGGAACCAGTGATACTTTAAGAACATAGTTTTGCAAGAATGATCTCTGACTATTAACCCCAATCCGTTCATGATGAATACAAAGCATTTTTCATGCACCGTAGAATATAGCACCCTATTAGTGCACAATATAAACCTTCAACAAATAGAATAGTAGCACGATTTTTTTTCCAAAGTTCATTAAATATGCTATGAAAGCATCAGCTAGAGATTCAGACATTTGCACAGAATTAGCTCGATGCTTGCCCGCGTAACCCAATACACAACGCATTTCATCTGGTGAATCCTCTGCTCAACGTACGTTTAGATGAGTGAGGATTTATGACTTGCATAGCGCTTGTGTGCACGCCATTTGAACATGCTCAAAGCATGACAACTGAGTACTAAAACCTAATGAAGTCAGGTATGTCAAGATAATGCATTTCCGTGGCTAAAAATAGTCAAAACGAAACTCATGACAGACGATTATTCGAGATTTCGCACCTTGACAATCATAAGTAATAAGAGATAAAATAAACTAAAAAAAATTAATCGTTTCAAATAGCGGTTCTCTGCCTGTGGGTAACGACCCTTTTGGAATTTGAAACGACCAATTCATTGGGGTCGCATAAGATCATAGGAAAACACATATACTCTATAATTATAAAGTAGCAACTTAAAAGCTTTTATGGTTTTGGGGTCACCACAACATAGAGGAACTGTATTAAAGGGTTACGGCATTGTAAATGTTGAGAACCACTGGTTTAACAGGTGAATGGAGAACTGACACACTCTCTACTGAGATTGGAACGTTTCCAGGAATCACTTGGCCCAGATATTATGATCAAGTATGACCTGCATTAGCATTTCTTCCACAAACTATTTTTCCAGACAATATTTTATCTCAATGGTTCACTCAACAGAATACAGAAAAAGTCAAACGTTTCATTTTCACCAAATCTAGAAACTCCTGAACAAAATGTTCCATAGAAATCCTTTTTAAAAAGTAATTTCGAGCAATGGTGGTGGGGCTGAAATTTTGAACAAACATGCAAACAAATTAGATACTTTATAGGAATCACAACTAGCGCTTCAGCAAATACTACTACCAGCACGCCAAAAGCTTCAGCAAATACTACTACCAGCACTTCAACAGCTTCAGCAAATACTACTACCAGCACGCCAACAGCTTCAGCAAATACTACTACCAGCACGCCAACAGCTTCAGCAAATACTACTACCAGCACTTCAACAGCTTCAGCAAATACTACTACCAGCACTTCAACAGCTTCAGCAAATACTACTACCAGTACTTAAACAGCTTCAGCTAATACTACTACCAGCACTTCAACAGTTTCAGCTAATGCTACTACTACCAGCACTTCAACAGCTTCAGCAAATACTACTACCAGCACTTCAACAGCTTCAGCAAATACTACTACCAGTACTTAAACAGCTTCAGCTAATATTACTACCAGCACTTCAACAGTTTCAGCTAATGCTACTACTACCAGCACTTCAACAGCTTCAGCAAATACTACTACCAGCACTTCAACAGCTTCAGCAAATACTACTACCAGTATTTCAACAGCTTCAGCAAATACTACTACCAGCACGCCAACAGCTTCAGCAAATACTACTACCAGCACTTCAACAGCTTCAGCAAATACTACTACCAGTACTTCAACAGCGGCAGCAAATATTACTACCAGTACTTTAAAGGCTTTAGCAAATACTACTACCAGTACTTCAACAGCGGCAGCAAATATTACTAACAGTACTTTAAAGGCTTTAGCAAATACTACTACCAGTACTTCAACAGCGACAGCAAATATTACTACCAGTACTTTAAAGGCTTCAGCAAATACTACTACCAGCACTTCAACAGCTTCAGCAAATACTACTACCAGCACTTCAACAGCTTCAGCAAATACTACTACCAGTACTTCAACAGCGACAGAAAATACTACTACCAGTACTTTAAAGGCCTCAGCAAATACTACCACAAGTACTTCAAAGTCTTCAGTGAATATTAGTGCTACAGCAAGTGCCGTCTAAAGGCATTAGCACACTTGGCACTTTCCCCAGGGCCTGATGCCTCTTAGGGGGGCTACACGCCTTTAAGGCACCTCATGCCTTTAGAGGGGGGCGGGGGGGGGGGGCCCACCCGTCTCGCTACCTCTAGAAATTTTTAACAATATTGAAAAAGTTCTTGGCAATTTAATTGGGTTAAAAAATGCAAAAAAAATCATTTCCCATTATTTAAATAAGTGTTTTTCACCTCATGCCTTTAGAGGGGGGCGGGGGGGGGGGGGCTCACGCGTCTAGCTACATCTAGAAATTTTTAACAATATTGAAAAAGTTCTTGGCAATTTAATGTGGTTAAAAAATGCAGAAAAAATCATTTCCCATTATTTAAATAAGTGTTTTTATGTTTAAATAAATTCATCTATTTTGGTACAAGTTTTTAAAATTTTCTCTTAATAAATTGTCAAATTGAACAAAGAAATAAATCAAAGAAAGAGTCTTACAAAAGTTGGCGACATAAGCTCACTATTTAGTCATTTTAATTATTTAAGTTATTGGATTTAAAAAGTCAGAATAAACTGTTTAAGTTACTACAGTTATTTTGCAATTCCAGATCTAATTCACTATCAATGCCAATCTGATTACGAATTTGGCACCCTTGTTCTTGGCGCCAGGGGTGATTTGCCCTTTTGGCATAGGGGGGCTTCAGTGCAATACTGCTGTAATGACGGCCATACAACTGGTGTCTTGTTTGATATGAGAGCTCTAGTCAACTATACAAATATTAGCAGACGGCTACATGTCTCGCAAAAGATAACATTCCAAGAAGTGTTTGGTGCAGACCAGGGGTAGCCAACACGAGGCCCGCGGGCGCAAGCGGCCTGCCGAGAGTCATGTTGCGGCCAGCGGAGCTTGGTCAAAGAAAACTAAATGCTAACCTTATCGTACATATCACGAGAAAAATCACATCATGAGTTGTTCATATCACATATTTTTAGATTATAACAAAGAGCAACTTGACAACTTTCGCATTTTTCTAAAAAAATTCATTGGTTTTGAGCTTTTTGAAATATCTCGCATTTTCGGGAAAATTCATAGATTTTAGGTATTTCAAATATCCCGTTTTTTTAACGCTGATGGTTCATTAGGGGTTTTTCCGACGCTAGCTGTTGATAATATTTTATAGGAATTGCATATTTGACTTGTTATATATAGTATGTTATGTGGTCTTCGTCGTTTTCGGGAAGCTGGCAATGCTAGTGATCTCACGCTCATTGACTTACCTTGGAGTCATCCAGTAAAGTCGTTGGGCTAAAGAAGAGAAGAATCACAGAAGAATTACATCCCCAAAAGACAACTACGTTCTTCCATTGACAGTAGAACCCTCTCAATCCCAAGAACTAAAACTAAGACCATCGGTGAACGCTCCTTCTGCTTCCATGGGCCCACGTTCTGGAACCAGCTCCCCTTCCATATACGTCATAGTGAAACCTCGTCCATTTTCAAAAAGTCCCTTTCAAGAACTAAAACTAAGACCATCGGTGAACGCTCCTTCTGCTTCCATGGGCCCACGTTCTGGAACCAGCTCCCCTTCCATATACGTCATAGTGAAACCTCGTCCATTTTCAAAAAGTCCCTTAAAACCCATCTGTTTAGGTCCGCCTATGACCTGTGATGCACCCTCCTTGCCCTACCTCATTTTCTGTTTCGGTTTAATCCTGAAGTGTCAAAGTGTCCTCTTTTTATAGCCATTTTCATTGTTTCTATAGAATAGTAGTTACTATCCTAGTGTCTCATTTGTATTTACTTAGTTTACATGTTTTAATAATTGTAAAGCGCTTAGAGCTTTATGATAAGCGCTATATAAAAATGCCTAAATAAATAAATAAATAAGAATTAAGAAGTTTTCAAGACAGGTGGACTAAGAACATTTTTTTTTTCAATTTCAATGAAATGAAAACAAAGCCCACATGTTTGATATGCAACGAAACTGTTTCTCTTTAAAATAGTTTAAACATCAACTGGCTCTACGAGACTAAACATGCAAATTAGTTTGATAAGTACAAAGAGCATTTTTGACCAGAACAAGTTAATGACTTAAAAAAAAAAAATTATTCTGCATAACAAAAGATATTTAATAGAGCGGGTTCAGAGTCAACATGCTATGTAAAGGCTATTTATACAGTAGCCATGATACCAATCACAAGTGAGAACATGAATTACTGATGTTTAATTGGAAAACTGTTTGCGTGTAGCGACAACATCCTACGAGATTATTTTGATGCACTTAGTCAGATGTCTCACTTTTAAATTTTTTAAAATTGTCCATTAAATATGTTTGATTTTCAGCTATGTTTCATTCTCTTTAAAAAAATAAATATGCCTATTGTGGCTTTTTTAACTTTAAACCATGCAAACGTTTGACCACGATATAACATACTGACAAGTGTTTGATCACGATCTCACCTACTGGCAAGCGTTTGACCACGATCTCACCTACTGGGAAGCGTTTGACCCCGATCTCACCTACTGGGAAGGGTTTGACCACGATCTCACCTACTGGGAAGGGTTTGACCACGATCTCACCTACTGGGAAGCGTTTGACCACGATCTCAACTACTGACAAAGCGTTTGACCAGGATCTCACCTACTGGGAAGCGTTTGACCACGATCTCGCCTACTGGGAAGCGTTTGACCACGATCTCACCTACTGGGAAGTGTTTGACCACGATCTCACCTACTGGGAAACGTTTGACCACGATCTCACCTACTGGGAAACGTTTGACCACGATATCACCTACTGGGAAACGTTTGACCACGATATCACCTACTGGGAAAGCGTTTGACCACGATCTCACCTACTGGGAAGTGTTTGACCACGATCTCACCTACTGGGAAACGTTTGACCACGATATCACCTACTGGGAAACGTTTGACCACGATCTCAACTACTGAAAAGCGTTTGACCAGGATCTCACCTACTGGGAAGCGTTTGATCACGATCTCGCCTACAGGGAAGCGTTTGACCACGATCTCACCTACTGGGAAACGTTTGACCACAATATCACCTACTGGGAAAGCGTTTGACCACGATCTCACCTACTGGGAAACGTTTGACCACGATATCACCTACTGGGAGAGCGTTTGACCACGATCTCACCTACTGGGAAACGTTTGACCACGATCTCACCTACTGGGAAGCGACGATGTTGTGTTGTCGAAGCTGTAGCACGCGTGCTTGATTACTTAAATTAACAAAAAAAATGTAGATACGTGGCCCGACAAGAAATTTTTTGTTCTGAAATGTGGCCCACCTGCTGAAAAGGTTGCCCACCCCTGGTTTAGACAGTCTGATTGTAAGTATTTATCTTCTCTTACAATACACCCTATAAAAATAAAGATGTTTTTTGTGTGCGAAACTTTGGTTACCGAATCAAGATAGTTGTTGCTTTTGTTATCATTTTAGTAACGGTAGTGCCATATATATATCTACCCTAATAAATGTGCCCTGTGGTTCACAGATGGTAATTACACATACATAATGGGATAAGCAACGATAAGACCGCTTTTCTCACCGTATGCGTAGCAATAAACGCATTCTTAATATCGTATTTGTTAAAAGAATACGGGCTCAAGCTTATCTCATCTCTCAGAGTCTTGACAAATAAGTCAAATGTTTATTTAAGTTATCTTGATAAGGTCAAGTATTACAAGGCACATATTAATTTAATAAACATTATTTATCATCAATTACAGCAACATTATCTTATTATAACCAGCGGTGTGCTAACTTTTTAAGAAGAACCATAATTACTTTATGCCATTACCAACACTCCTAAAATCTTTCGTTGGTTCCAAGGTACACACTTCAGGCTGGCGACCGCCGGTGACCTGTGGTTCTACTTAAAAATTGTATAAAAGTCACATCTTGTTCATACACAACATTTACACCAACATTCATATCTTGAAACAGATCAAGTCGTGTTAATTAAATACGTATATTTAAGCCAGTAACGGCTAATTCTCAGCAAATTCGTAAATAATTTGAATTGATTGACCATGGCGATCCACACAGTTTTTCTGGGCGTCATTGTTGTAGCTGTGTGTTGGTTGCATTTTGCCAGAGGTAAGTTTCTTACTCAAGAAGGGTATGGGAGTATAATGGAAGTAAGGCTAGATTATACATGTCTTAAAGCTTTGATTAGTTCAAATGATTGTGTCTACTCAAAAACTAGATAAAATTAAAAGTAGGTTTGTTGCGGATGCATAGGGACATAGTGTTCACTTTATATCATAGGGACATAGTGTTCACTTTAGAACATAGGGACATAGTGTTCACTTTAGAACATAGGGACATAGTGTTCACTTTATATCATAGGGACATAGTGTTCACTTTATATCATAGGGACATAGTGTTCACTTTAGAACATAGGGACATAGTGTTCACTTTAGAACATAGGGACATAGTGTTCACTTTATATCATAGGGACATAGTGTTCACTTTAGTACATAGGGACATAGTGTTCACTTTAGAACATAGGGACATAGTGTTCACTTTAGAACATAGGGACATAGTGTTCACTTAGAACATAGGGACATAGTGTTCACTTAGAACATAGGGACATAGTGTTCACTTTAGAACATAGGGACATAGTGTTCACTTTAGAACATAGGGACATAGTGTTCACTTTATATCGGAAGTAAAATATAAAAAAGTTATTAAAAAAAAAACAATAATGCATTTGGTTCTTAATCAGTTAGCTACTTTTTTTTTTTACAAGCAAAATTTAATCATTTGTGTATCAGTTCATGACACCACTCTCACTTCCATTCGCTACTTTCCGTTCTTCTGCTTCTAATATTTGTTTTCGTTAGAGAATAGTTCCCAATGTTAATCTTTTCTTTTTTTAATCTTCCATTATTTTTTTTAGTTATAGGTAGGAAATGCATATTTATCTAATTTCAATTTTTAATTATTTAATTTTTTTCGTTCATACTTATGCAACTTACAAAATGTATAGTTTGTCTCATCATAAGTAAATTTTCCAATTTTTTTTTAATGGACACGATTAGTTTGTGTGCCATTAATCACAAAGGCTTGGCATCGATTCCCGGTATTGAAATATCTGATTTTAAAGTGGAATACCTCTCTATGTCATACGATTACTTTAATAATGAATGAAACTGGCCAAAGCTAAAGGTTGTGGAATAATATTTCTATTTTCTGAATCCCACGACCAGCATCATACCTGAGCTTGACGGCGGAACCATCGGTCATACATCCAGTTATAACAGCCAAGCTCCAGCTCAGGTGCTCGGTGAAAAACGGCACGGTCCTGACACACATCTTACTACAAAACAATTCATCCTCCACACAAGAAGCTGACATGACTCAAACCCCGAGCACCACTGACCGCTTTCTGGCCATCGCTATCATGAAGGTCAACGAGAAGTCTGGATCAACCGAGGCCGTCGCGAGCGTGACAGGTTGCGAGGTCCCGGTCATCCAACAAGGGTTCGCCAACACAATCAAAGCTGAGGGCAGTAGCGAGGGTTCGCAAGAGCCGGACGAGCTGGGTTATCTGCTTCTAACGTGGGACCATCCTTCAACCACGGACTCGGGTACCTTCAAGTGTGAAGCGATATTTCTCAACCCCCAGAGCTTCTCGCAGACCCTCAGGACTTCTCTAGATGTTCCTGCTAACGAGCCTTCACTTTCAGATCTCATCACCTACATTTCCGCCAACAGCAAATACATCGCGTCACTGGAGAAGCAAGTCCAGGAGTTGGCGAAGGAGAATCAAGAGCTCTCAGCAGACGTTAAACAGCTTTCCAACAGGACTCTCGAGCAGAGGGTGCTGACAACAGATAACATCCAGACAGGCTCCGCTAGTTGCAAAAACCAATATATTTACTTCCCGCATGCCTTCAGAAACGAGCCAGTCATCTTCACCTCTGTATCCAGCCTCTCCTTTCAGAGATTGGATTATTATTCGCAATCGTTTAGTATCCAGGTTGATGACGTATCCAGCTATGGATTTTCGGTCAACTGCACGACACCGTCCTACTACACCACAGCAGGCTTTGACTGGTTGGGTATTGGGAACTAATCAGTTGACGACAAAAAGACAAGATGAAAATGATTTTCTTTTCCTTGTTGAAAGATACGAGGAGGTTTGATTTAAAAATAAAATTGTGCTGTCTTTGTGTTGACATTTTTTTCCCCAAAACAATATTAAAAATAAATCTTCAGTTTTTGTTCGTGTCCTCAAGGTTATGACACATGTGCCTGTCTTAGATGGACGAAAGGTTTTTAAAACGGCCAATTTTGCGATGGTCAATTCAACTTATTAATGAACTTGCACCTGGCTGTCTTAACTCTTTTTTAAATGCATGTGTTAAATTTTTAGTTTCTTAATTTCTTGGTAATTTGTCAATTACTTGTATGGATAATGTATGTAAGAATAAATAGGCATAAAAAATTGAATTACTTTCGTATCGCAGAGCGTCTGAAGCTGCATTATTTGAGAATTCACTTGAACTGAATATTCAGATTAACTTCATCATCGACGCCAGAGTAAATGAGAAGACGAGTGACCTGAGTGACTGTAATGAAATATTTCGCTTCATAAAAAAGTGAGACATAAACGTCATCATTTAGACTGGAAATAGCTTACACTTTCAGCTGATATTAACCAGAGCTTTATTGGTTTAAATTCAATTCAAAAGACGCTAGCAATAAAAGTTAACCCCACTATAACATGGCCACTAAAACATGCCAACTATAGCATGCCCACTATAACATGCCAACTATAGCATGCCCACTATAACATGCCTACTATAACATGCCTACTATAGCATGCCAACTAAAACATGCCAACTATAAAATGGCCAATTTAACATGTCCACTATACCATCCCCACTATAAAATTTCCACTATAACATGCCCACCAGAACATCCCCACCACAACATGCCCACCACAACATGCCCACTATAACATGTCAACTATAACATGGCCCCTTTAACATGTCCACTCTACCATCCCCACTATAAAATTTCAACTATAACATGCCCACCAGAACATCCCCACCACAACATGCCCACCATAACATGCCCACTATAACATGTCAACTATAACATGGCCACTTTAACATGTCCACTATACCATCCCCACTATAACATGTCCACTATAACATGCCCACTATAACATGTCCACTATACCATCCCCACTCTAACATGCCCACTCTAACATGCCCACTCTAACATGCCCACTCTAACATGCCCACTCTAACATGCCCACTCTAACATGCCCCGGCGTTATGCAACTACTGACATTACGTAACCCCTCGTTACTTCGGTAACTTTGTATTTTTATTTGCTGTACATTTGTTTCCCCTTCGCAGTAAGTGAACAAAATAATAAAACTATTAACTATTAAAACATACTCGTAAATTTAATAAACTTCTCGTAAAAAATTGAAAATCAAAAGTATTATATTCCCAGTTTGAGAGTCCACCTGCTGCTACTTGACATAGTGCGCATGTGGGGGAAATCTGGCTGCAGCAAGGGGGCCCTGATCAGAAAATTTGTTGGTGCCTCGGGGTTTGGTGGAATAACTAACGGAAGTGTGAACACAAGTCCCTTGCTATGAAGTGTGCTTGTGGAACACAAGTCCCTTACTATGAAGTGTGCTTGTGGAACACAAGTCCCTTACTATGAAGTGTGCTTGTGGAACACAAGTCCCTTACTATGAAGTGTGCTTGTGGAACACAAGTCCCTTACCATGAAGCGTGCTTGTGGAACAAAAGTCCCTTACTATAAAGCGTGCTTGTGGAACAGGAGCCCCATACTGTAAAGATATCTCAAACAAATTCGCATATCGTCTTATGATGGTTCCAGGTGACCCATGGTGTAAAAATATATGAAACGAATTCGCATATCATCTTATGATGTTACAGGACATTAGCATATCGTCTTATGATGTCACAGGACATTAGAATTTATGTCATAGAAATTCTTGACATTAAGGAAGAGGGTGTTGAGGTGTCTAGTTTCTTGTTTTATTTTTGACCACGTAATCTCTTCACATTTCTACTAGATCAGAGATAAATTACACTGTTGTAAGCGCGTAGAGAGTATCGATTTTATTCATTCCAACGATTCTATTAGAATTTTTTTAATTTAATGGTTCTGAATTTTTTAAATTTGATATAAATATTTTTTTTATTTTACATATATATGATTTTAATATATATAGCGTTGCCGATGAGTCCCCCGAGTAACAGAAGTAAGCGGTGTTGGCTTATGTATGTAATCGTGGACTTACGAGTCAAGAAAACAAGTTCCTATATGACGCAAGAAAAGACGGTGTCATAGTCTTAAATAAATGCTGTACCATAGAGTGGTTTTTACGCGTACTCAAAGTCCAAAAGTAACGAAATACTCCACCTTCCTATTCCACCTTTCTTCGCAAACGTTCTCCTACACCGTTCTACTCTATCTTCCTACTCCATCCTACTCCATCTTCCTACTCCATCTTCCTACTCCACCTTTCTACTCTATCGTTCTACTCCGTCTTCATACTCCACAGTCCTACTCCACCGTTCTACTCCACCGTCCTACTCCACCGTTCTACTCCACCGTTCTATTCCCCCTAGTAACCTCCCCACAACAATTCTACCACGCTAGTCACCACAAATCTATTCAGCTCCTATTGGAAGACATTTAGTTTGTCAGACAAAAAAATAATATGAACATTCGCGTTGAACATTTTTTTTTTGAACTTCAACCTTTGGCCAGATTTCTCTACCTCGGTAACCAAATCCGTGCACATTGAGTCAAAGATATCCTTTCTTTTTGTTGTTCTGCTGAGCCGTATTCATAGAATAACGATTATTCAATAGTAGCGAGCCTGGTCAGCTTTAGATCGACTTTAATACGTGGTTATGTCAAATTATGAAAGATAGTTTTACAAAGTCTGTTGGAGCGTCATATTAAATAGTAGTTCCCAAAATATTGACAAAAGGCACAGTGGTATAAAATATATCCAGGATACATTGTACGGTGGTATAAAACATATAATTGGATAGACTGCGCAGTAGTTCAAATGGACACCTTGCACAGTGGTACAAAACATATTAATGGATAGACTGCGCGGTAGATCAATTGGACACAGTGCACAGTGGTACAAAACATATTAATGGATAGACTGCACGGTAGTTCAAATGGACACAGTGCACAATGGTACAATACATATTAATGGATAGACTGCGCGGTAGTTTAAATGGACACAGTGCACAGTGGTACAAAACATATTAATGGATAGACTGCGCGGTAGTTCAAATGGAAACAGTGCACAGTGGTACAAAACATATTAATGGATAGATTGCGCGGTAGTTCAAATGGACACAGTGCACAGGGGTACAAAACATATTAATGGATAGACTGCGCAGTAGTTCAAATGAACACAGTGCACAGTGGTACAAAACATATTAATGGATAGACTTCGCGGTAGTTCAAATGGACACAGTGCACAGTGGTACAAAACATATTAATGGACATAATTTAAAAAAAAAGTCAATTGAAAAAAGTACAAAGTTATACAAAATATTTAATGGACACAGCACACACTGGTACAAAATATTGCAATGCACACAGTACACGGTGGTACAAAATATACATATTTACAATGCATATTAATACAATATGATTGTAACTGACACAGTAAACACTGTTACACGATGTGTCAATGAGCATAGCGCATATCGACTGTGACAATCTGTTATAAGAAGAGACTACTCATCATTCCTAACATTTGAAGAAAAAAAACCGCGTCTACAGAATCTATGATGAGACCCGATGGTAATGGCTTGAGGATCTCTGGGAAATGATACATAAAAAAATGCACATTCCAATGGTAACATATTTTAAGGTATATGTGCGGCCTGTGTCGTCTGTGTGTGTGTGTGTGTGTGTGTGTGTGGTGTGTTTGTGTTCGCGGGTGGTATATTTCGCATAATAAAATTATAATATGAAAATAATTCAATGAACGTGACATACTTAACAAGGCACCCACTTTGCATACTAAACAAAGCACCCACGTGACATGCTAAACAAAGCAGCCGCGTAACAAACTAAACAAAGCACCCACTTGGCATACTTAAAAAATCACCCACATGGCATACTAAACAAATCACCCACGTGACATACTAAACAAAGCACCCACGTGACATACTTAACAAAGCAGCCACGTAACATACTTAACAAAGCACCCACGTGACATACTTAACAAAGCAGCCACGTAACATACTTAACAAAGCACCCACGTGACATACTTAACAAAGCAGCCACGTAACATACTTAACAAAGCAGCCACGTAACATACTTAACAAAGCAGCCACGTAACATACTTAACAAAGCAGCCACGTAACATACTTAACAAAGCAGCCACGTAACATACTTAACAAAGCAGCCACGTAACATACTTAACAAAGCAGCCACGTAACATACTTAACAAAGCAGCCACGTAACATACTTAACAAAGCAGCCACGTAACATACGTAACAAAGCAGCCACGTAACATACGTAACAAAGCAGCCACGTAACATACTTAACAAAGCACCCACGTGACATACTAAACAAAGCACCCACGTAACTTACTTTACAAAGCACCCACGTGACATACGTAACAAAGCACGCAGTGTCTAAACAGAGCGTGAAAGCCATCCATAGAGTCTGGCAACACTTAGACTTAAGGTTTAAGTGTGAAATAATTAGATGGCTTGTTTTTTACTGTCTGATTAGAAAGGCGTTTGGTAGAGACGTCTTTTAACTTGTTCTGTCATTTTTCAAGCCTAAACACATCTTGTCCCATTATTTATTACTCCAATAGGCTATTTAATTTAAGACATTTTATAGAATTCCGTTGTATTACAACTAACTCAAATAGTTTACTGTTAAGCCGTCCAGTGCCATCATGTGATGGTGAATTTGTAAAAAATGGAATTTAAACTTTTAATATTTCAGGAATTAAAGAAATAAAACAAAAATTAAGGATGCCCCATTTGTTTCTATATCCCAGTCTTGTGGTAGTGGGCATAGAATCAAACCACTGTGGTAGTGGGCATAGAATCAAACCCCTGTGGTAGTGAAGAGATATGTCCTAGAAATAAACACCCCTGTGGTAGTGAAGAGATATGTCCTAGAAAGAAACCCCTGTGGTAGTGAAGAGATATGTCCTAGAAAGAAACCCCTGTGGTAGTGAAGAGATATGACCTAGAAAGAAACCCTTTTGGTAGTGAAGAGATATGTCCTAGAAAGAAACCCCTGTGGTAGTGGAGAGATATGTCCTAGAAAGAAATCCTTTTGGTATTGAAGAGATATGTCCTAGAAAGAAACCCCTGTGGTAGTGAAGAGATATGTCCTAGAAAGAAACCCCTGTGGTAGTGAAGAGATATGTCCTGGAAAGAAACCCCTGTGGCAGTGAAGAGATATGTCCTGGAAAGAAACCCCTGTGGTAGTGAAGAGATATGTCCTAGAAAGAAACCCCTGTGGTAGTGAAGAGATATGTCCTAGAAAGAAACCCCTGTGGTAGTGAAGAGATATGTCCTGGAAAGAAACCCCTGTGTTAGTGAAGAGATATGTCCTAGAAAGAAACCCCTGTGGTAGTGAAGAGATATGTCCTAGAAAGAAATCCCTGTGGTAGTGAAGAGATATGTCCTAGAAACCCCTGTGGTACTGAAGAGATATGTCCTAGGAAGAAACCCCTGTGTTAGTGAAGAGATATGCCCTAGAAAGAAACCCCTGTGGTGGTGAAGAGATATGTCCTGGAAAGAAACCCCTGTGGTAGTGAAGAGATATGTCCTAGAAAGAAACCCCTGTGGTAGTGAAGAGATATGTCCTAGAAAGAAACCCCTGTGGTAGTGAAGAGATATGTCCTAGAAAGAAACCCTTGTGGTATTGAAGAGATATGTCCTAGAAAGAAACCCCTGTGGTAGTGAAGAGATATGTCCTAGAAAGAAACCCCTGTGGTAGTGAAGAGATATGTCCTGGAAAGAAACCCCTGTGTTAGTGAAGAGATATGTCCTAGAAAGAAATCCCTGTGGTAGTGAAGAGATATGTCCTAGAAAGAAACCCCTGTGGTAGTGAAGAGATATGTCCAGGAAAGAAACCCTTGTGGTATTGAAGAGATATGTCCTAGAAAGAAACCCCTGTGGTAGTGAAGAGATATGTCCTGGAAAGAAACCCCTGTGGTAGTGAAGAGATATGTCCTCGAAAGAAACCCCTGTGGTAGTGAAGAGATATGTCCAGGAAAGAAACCCCTGTGGTAGTGAAGAGATATGTCCTCGAAAGAAACCCCTGTGGTAGTGAAGAGATATGTCCTAGAAAGAAACCCCTGTGGTAGTGAAGAGATATATGCTAGAAAGAAACCCCTGTGACAATGAGGATAGATGCTCAAGAAACAAGAAAAACGAGT